GGATTGAACCCCCCCCCCCCTGAAGTGAGAAGTAAAGGGGCATGATCAGATCTAGTCCTAGCTATGTGTTCAACCTCTACTAGACCATTTAAACCCATTCAAACTTGATTGAACAACAACATGTCCAATCTTTTGAATATGCAATCTCTATCTGCTCTTCCATTCCACCATGTGAATGGACTACCTTTAAAATTAATGTCAACTAGATCACAGGAGTTGACACAAATAGCAAATTCTTCATAGTCCTGTGGACATACAAGAAGCCCCCCTATCTTCTCTTCATCATTAAGAATTACATTGAAATCTCCTCCCACCAACCAAGGTAGATTCATGTTTATATTGAGGTTATGAATGTCCTCCCACAGACCCCTCCCCTTCTGTTTATCACACTTTGCATATACAAATGTAGTAATTAAAGATTGTCTAGTTTCTTGGTATTTGTAACTGTAAAGATAATTGCAGCTCAGTATCTGATAATACACCAACATGAATATGCTCTTGAATGAAGACCCAAATCTTCCCATTCTGATTGTAGTTAGCATATTGCATATTAGTCTCCTCTTGTATTTATGAATATGTCTAATATCTTGAAATGGTTCCATTAAAGCAATAATGGAAAATTTATGGTATATATCAAGCATCTGAATTCTGTGGAATGAATTCTGAGTTCTAATAGACCTCACATTCCAGACCAATGCCTTTAACTTCATTTATTAGTTATTTTCACTCCCCTCTTGGGGTTTACCTGGATAGGTTTGTTCTCCACCTTATTTCTGCCTCTAGTGGTGCTAGTGTCTGGTAGACCAACATCTATCAATGTTTGCGTCATGTTGGTCTGATTATCAGCTTTTTCAAAGTCCTCCACTTGTCCTCTATGTTGGCCTCCTCCTCCATATCTTGTGTCTGCTATTCACTGATATGAGACCACTTCATGTAAAATTCTAATTGGTGGTGTTTTTGTGCAGGTTTCTATCAAGGTTGTCGTTCCATTGGGGTCTTTATAAGCAACATCTTCCAGTATTAGGATATCTGGACTTGTACCTTCTTGCAGACCCTAGAAATCTCTTGTGCATGAGGTATCAATCTACAAAGGTACTACCAATTCGTGAGAAACTTCATCATCTTGGTGCTTAACAATCATCACATCCTTCTCATTATCTATTTCTGTTGCAGGTATACTTTGTGAATCCTCCCCATTGCTCATCCCCTCTTGGTTTACTTCATGGCTACTGTTATGATTGTCTTTCTCTACCCCTTTATTCCTCCAATTGGTTTTTCCCGGAGTTTCTGTGTGGGCTTGTGGCATATCTGTATTATTTTTGTTATAGCTCACCTTTATTAAGGGTCTTCCCTCCCCATGAGGGCATTTGTTGTTATATTCTCCACTGGTAATTTCTTATCTATTGTCCCTTCAGAGAAGTCCAATTCTTCATGCTCCTGCCTGATTACTTCCTTATAATGCTCATGCTTATCATCGTTTAAATCGTCCAGTGTATCTGCAGGCAGTTCTCCATCCTCTAGCTCATCCACATGTAGGGCATCAAAAAGGTTAGCAATATTAACACCTTCTGCTACACTCGACCTTTCTTTGTCTATCTCCTTAATTATATTGGTGGTGCCATTAACAATCTTGAATCTTCGATCGGTTTGTGGGATTCCATTTTGTGTGAACAATTTTCCCATTGATAAATCTCATTTGCGTAGGTATATTCGATTGTTCTCCTTCTTTTATCCTTCAATTACTGCCTCATCCTCCTTTCGTTTGAGCGCCAGGATGCAAGCTCCTGCATTCCTCTTCCACGTGTCCTTGAAGCTTGCAGGTATGCCAATATTTAGGAAGCATGTCATACTGTATTTTAACCTTTTGTACTTTATTGATCTGTGTTCTTCTATTAACAACTTCCAACTCTACATAATCCGGAAGTTTAGCAGTCAAATCCAGCTGAACTTTTACTTTTGCATAGCTTAGACGGGTTCTGTTAATGGTAGCCATATCCAGTTGGGTTGGCTTCCCCACTGCAGATGCTAGGGAAAATAGCGATTCCTTTACAAAGAATGTAGGGAGGAGGTCTGGGAATGATATCCATGCCATCGCCTATGTGGTTTCTTCCCCTGGTTTGAAATTTGCATCGTAGATAAATGGCCTCATCTAATATGCTATTCCATCCTTCCCCATTATGTAGTACGCATTTTTTGAGAGTATATTTACGATATCCTCCATAAAATTAAACCTCATCAATATATGTATGTGCCTAAGGAGGCCAATCTTACATTCACCTTTAATTTTACATTGTTTGGGGATTTGATTGCGTAAATCCTCTAGGTCAGGCCACCTATAGGAAAACTTACCAATCACAGCAAATTGTAAACCTTCTATTACATTCATCTTGTCCACTTCCTCTTACGTGGTATCCTGTTTGAGTATTCCACAGTCTTTAATGGGATTGATTCTTGTATTACTCATTTATTGGCTGGTTTTAGAAGATCTGCGTATTTCACTTTTGGGTCCACATCACAAGCTGGTTGTTCGACTTGTTGATCACTAGTAGGCAATATCATAGGCTCGACAGGTTTATTGGGAGATTTGGGGTGGTAGAGTTTTGAGAAATTGATGATAGATGTGGTGGTGAGAGTTGTGTTTTGGGGACTCTGACCAGTTTCAGATGACTAACCAGTGGCCATACCGGCCATGACGACAACGACTACTCTAGAGTGAGAGGGTGATTTTGGGGTTAAGTGGCGGTTGGGGATAGTGGCTTATTCGCACGATTTAGTATATCATATATATTTTATATTAATAATTATTTATATTATATTGTATTAAAAGTGGACACCTTTCCACATTGAAGGGTTGTCACTTTTTTAAAGTGTTGTGGCTTTTCTGAAGGATTGGCACTTTTATGAAGTGTTCTGGCTTTTCTGAAGAGTTGTCACTTTTCTGATATGGCACAATAAATACTTGTTCATACTATCCTTTGCTAGCTATAAGTAGAGTGGTTTATTCACATTTTTAAACTACGAAATTTCTAAATTTTCTATTCTTCTTCTTTAAACACCCAATTTAGTATTTCTTCTATCTTTTATATTATATTATATTTATTATTTATATTATATTAAAAGTAGATATCTTTTTTTTAAATAAAAATTTATGGCTAGCAGGCCATTTTTTTTATTAATAGAAAAACACTAAAAGCCAAATTCAACAATGAGCTAGTTCAAAATGAACCAACCTAGTTCAAAATAAGCTAAAAGAAAGCAAAATATCTAAAGATTTTTCTGAACATAAAACCAAGGGGTCATTTGGTTGCGAATTAGTTATCCCAGGATTAATTATCATGGGATTAGTTATCCTAAGATAATTTATCCCACCATGTATAAGGGATAACTTATTCCATTACTATGGTATAAATGGTGGAATAAATTATCTCAAACATGACAACCAAACAAGACAATAAAATTTTGTCCCAAGACTATTTTTTTTATACCAAGACCATTTATTCTTATCCTTCACACTAAACGATCCCTAATAGTGATAGTGTGGAGCTTGATGCTCCTTGCCATTCTTGCTTGTCCAGCCATACCCTTTTTTTTGTGATCGCAATGTTGTGAGGCACCAAGATCAAACTTTGGTCAGGAGCACCTATTTTTATCCTAGGTACTCTCATATCTCCTCGTCTTCTCTTTTGGTATATTTCCAAATCTTGACTTCCAATGTTTCCTGCATCATCCTGATGTCTTTCAGTTGCAGCATCTGCCTCTCCGAGTAAGTCTTCCTTTTTTTCTTTGTAGATTCTCATTATTATCATGTTGTTCATATTTTGTTGAATTACTTCTTCATGCATTTCTCCAATTATTTGATCGTGTGTAGTGCTTGTTGGTTAATATCTGACCTGAGTGCTTGAACTCTTTTTTCTGCCTTATTTCCTGACTACTCTAATTGTTATATCTTCTGAATCTTGCTTGTTTTGATGCTGAGAGCTAAAATTTGTGTTTTATCTATGTTGATTAGTTTTCTTCCTTCCACTGAGATTTGTTGAAAATTCTGAAATTTTGACTTAACGCTTTGTTCAAATGCTATATTTGTGAGATAGTCAGCCACTGCATTTCCTTCTCTAAAAATGTGATCAATATCTATGTTAAGCTGAATCATTATCCCTCTCATAGTTTCCACCCTTTTTAGGTTGTGTATGGAGCAGTATTGTAATACTTGGTACACAGCCATTGTTTCTTCCTTCATATTTGCAGAAATTCTTATTTGACTCGCTTGAGCATAAAATATGTCCCCCTTGTCATCCCTAATACAAAACCCATAGGAGCTATTACCTTGACTTGCCCCATCAGTGTTAATTTTGAGCCTTCCTCTAGATGGTAGCTTCCATGTAATTGCACAACAATGGACCTTTGGTTTATATTCTCTTAAATATTTTAACACTGATGACCAGTCTGGTGGGATCCGTTTCATCCAAGGGTATAGTAATTTTATCAGTTGGTATACTGTTTGCTGAACTTGGTATACCATTTTGTTAGATGTGACATCTTTTGTTAGACTGAGGTTCAAACACCTTAAGCCTAGATAATCACAAGGCAAACTAAGGAGTGAAGGGTGTGTCACCGATCATGCTTGTCGGCCCGACTTACGTCGCTAAGTCGGTTACGAAGTGGATTTTGGGACAAATTTTGGGAAAGTATAAATATTCCTTAGGATATAATTTTTAGAGAGTCGAACAGTGTGAGAGAACAAAAAGAAGAGTTCATAGTTATTAAGTTTTGAGTTGAGAGTACTTTACCTTTGAAGAATACTTTTCTAATTTTTGGGATTTTACAATTTGAAGCTTGAATTTGATAAATTAAAGTTAAATCCAAAGAGGATTTACTCTTAATTGTTTGATTTCAAGTTACCCATGGTTTCTTTCATGGAAGGTATACTTTCTTTACTTTTTGTGATGGGTGATTAAAACCCCAAGATCTAGGCGGTGCTCAAATGGGGTTGGGTGTTGATTTAATGTAGTGGGTATTGTGTCATGCTTTGTTTTGTTGATGTTCATGCATGAATTTGGTCTAATTATCATGGAGTTAACTTATGGGTTATGGTTGAAAACTTAATTCCTACTTCCGTTCTCCGGTATCCTCAAAAGAGATTAATTGGAGTCGGTAATTAGTCTAATACTAGAAATTTATGTTTGATGTTTATGGCTTGCTTGAAAGAGAGGTTATGGGTCGGATTTATTTGTCATATTCTTGAAAAAGAGAGTAAAGTAAAGTATTGAGTTGTTTAGAAATTGCATATAGATGAGACCGAAATGAGATTCTACGTATAGATGCTTTGAGATCGAAAGATGATTAGCGTCAATAAAGATGACTTAGCCTATTTATGAATGTACATCACTATAGAGCAGCACAATCACTCCTATGTGACTTTGATTTCCAATTCCCGCACCCCTAGATTGCTTGTTAACTCTTAATTTTATTTTAATTTTAGTTTAATTGCGATAATTGATAACCAAAGTTTTGTATTAAGTTGGTGGTAACATTTACCCAATTGTTCTTACTATTACAAATGAGCTAATTTAAAGTTCAAATTTCTTGATAAAGAATATTCTATGATATATCATTTCCTATGGGATTCGACCCCGACTCTTCGTTATTTTTTTTTACTGATTACGATCGCTCACTCTTTCAATTGGTTTTGGAGGGTGATTTGAGCATTATAATCCATCATTCTTTTATTGCTTGGTGCAATTGAAACCATCCAATGTTGATACCTTCACAAGTAGAAAACTCTATCCATATCTGTAAAGTTGTAAGAGATGTTAGAAAAAGATGAGACATAGTCTCCTGTGAGTATTGTTTACAACACCAACACCTTGAGGAATTATTGATCCTGAAGAATATTAAGTTATCATCAGTGGGAATTCTTTTCTTTAACACCCTCCATAGGGTAAAAAGTAATCTTAATTGGGAGCCCTTTAAACTATATGTAATCATTTATTCGAGAAGTCTCCTCCCTATTTCTTATCACCTCTCATGTTGTTTTCACACTAAATTCTTCAGTGTTGTAGCTCATCCACCAAGCTCTGTCATTATCATCATTATTTAGCCTTGGAATGATGTTTTGAGCAATGTAGTCCACCATTTCCTCTGATAGCATTCCTTGTAAATTCTATCAGTTCCATTGGCCATCAATTATGAATTCCTTTACCTCCATCTCTTTTCAACTCCCTTTTCCTTCCTCCACAAAATAAAGTGCCCCCTGTTTTGTCCAATTATCATACTAGAAGAAGGAGTTTTCTGCTTTTAATTGCCACCATATATCTGATGTTCACATTTTCTCTAACTTCTATAAATTTCTTCCACATATGTGATACTTCAAACCCATAAGCTATAGTGGGATAGACTTTCTTACAATATTTGTTCCACGTGTATGAACTCCATAGTACTGGATGATCTGAAGTTCCACCATAACTTTACAAATACAGCCTTGAAAAGGTCGTGTGGTGATCTAAAGCTTTAAACCCCCTTCCTTTTTGGGCAAACACATTTTATCTCATGCCACCCAATTCTTTCTTCTATCACCTGTAGTATTACTCTAGAAGAATTTGGCAAATATTTTGTGCATTTGCTCAATAACCCCTTTAGGAGGGTTCATTGTTGATAACTAGTAGATTGGCGTTGTCTGCAACACATGACTTATCAAGATGGTTCTTCATATAAAGGTTGAGAGTCTATTTTTCCATGAAATAACTCTCTTCATCACATTTTTACTTAGCTCTTCATAATATATCAGTTTCCTCCTTCCATAAAACAAAAGGCATCCTAAGTA